GCTTTATTGGTATTTGATTTGGACTTTGTTGGTAAGATTTTGTGGTTTGGGGTGTTTTTATTTTTAAGGTTAATAATTCAAGTTTGTAGAGTAGAACTCTCTTCAACAAAATGGAGTGTCTAATTATAATAATGAGTAGGAAACATGGAAGGTGTTTTTTTAAGTTACATTTTTTTTAAGATTTTATCTATAGAGAAAGGGGAAGGGAAGATGAAAGAGAGGGAGAGAAACATCAATGGGTGGTTGCTTCTCATGCATCATCCACTGGGGACCCAGCCCACAACCCAGGCATGTGCCCTGAATAGGTATCGAACCAGTGACCCTTTGGTTCACAGGCCCACACTCAATCCACTGAGCTATACCAGCCAGGGCTGAGTTACATATTTTTTTATTTATTTTTAGAGAGAAGGGAAGGGAGGGAGGGAGAGAGGGAGAGGAATATTGATGTGAAAGAGAAACATCTATTGATCAGTAGCCTCTCACATGTGCCCCAACCCCAGGGACAAACTCACAACCGAGGCATGTGCCCTGACTGGGAACCAAACCAACGAACTCTTGCTTTGTGGGACAAAGCCCAACCAACTGAGCCACTCCGGTCAGGGCTAAAGTTATGTCTTGATATGTTATATAAGATTTGCCTTAGAGTTATCATTTTTTTATATTCTCACTTAATAGATGAATTCTAGCCATTTTTAATAAAGATTTCTATTAAGCAAATCCTGTTTTACACTGGCTTCCTTTAAGTAGATTTAGATTCTGCTAAAGTGACTCCTTATATGAATGGTGAAAATTGCTTTAAAGAAATGTATTAAAATACTGCCAGCCCTGGCTGGCCTAGCTCAGTGGATTGAGCACAGGCTGGGAACCAAAGTGTCCCAGGTTCGATTCCCAGCCAGGGTACATTTCTGGGTTGCAGGCCATAACCCCTAGCAACCACACATTGATGTTTCTCTCTCTCTCTCTCTCTCTCTCTCTCTCTCTCTCTCTCCCTCCCTCCCTTCCCTCTCTAAAAATAAATAAATAAAATCTTAAAAAATAAATTTAAAATACTGCCAAAAGGGGCAACCTTAAAACCATAAGGAATTCAAACCATAATGAGAATGTTTATATATTTCTTGAGTCTCTGTTAATATCATATCTTCCTATGGTTATACTTTAAATATTTTACTCTTCAAGGTCTTAGTAATTTGGACTTTTTTTTTAATCAGCACCAAACTTCCTAGATTTTTTTTTAATTTAAGTAAAAGGCAATAGTTCTTTTACCCTTCCTTGATCTTTTGACTCACAATTCCTTGACTAATTGCTTGTTAAAAGGAATCTTTAGATGGCAAAAGAAAGTATCACTACCAGCACAGCCCAGTTAGCAATTGTATTCAGAATACGAAAAGAAATTATTAATCCTTGAACATTGTTTAGGAGTTTGTGAGTTGTTAGGACCCTGCACTTTGGAGTCAGCACCTGGCTTTGCATTCCAACTGCCATTTTCTAGCTATGAGATCTTGGGCGAGATAATGAACCACTGTAAACTCCATCTTGTTGCTCTGTAAAATAAAGAGCAACCTACCTCATAGAGTTATTATGAGGATCAGATGCAAACATAAATGAAGCCCAGTGAGGCCCTGGTACACAACAGGCACTCACATAGTTGCTGATATTAGCAACATATGATCTGAGTTGAGGGGTCACTCAGCCAGCCATTAGCAATTAGTCGACTGTTGGAACGTGCCAATATTCTCTAGTAAACAATCTAATTGCAATCAGAAAGTGAGTAGGTTATGCTTGGATTGAATAGTGTATTCATAAAAGTAATTGCATGGGTCCTTATCAGAAACTGCTATTATTAAAGAATGATGTTAAGGCTGGCTAAATTCTGATAGTCCCCAGTTACTAACCAACCCCCAGAATTAACTATAGTGTGTATAACAAGAAGAACCAACCTCTAGTCCCAAGTTGCGATAGAAGCTGTGGACAAAAGAGTAGGTGAAAATAATGGCCCCTCTATGAAGCCCCCAATTTCAGTAAGCTAAAAGAGTGTCATACTCAAACAGACTTTGTGGTTTAAAGAATTCTTACGTTGAGAGTTATGTACCTATATGTAATTTGTTGGTAGTTAGAAAGATGAAATGAACTAGAAGATGAGTCCTTCCTTCAAATGTGTAATGGGACAAATCATTTCACCTCTTAATTTTCTCTTTTGCAGAATGAGGATAAATTCTAATTCTTCCTTTCTAATAGTGACATTATAATGAAAACGAGTTGATAATTCAGAGGCAAAAGTATTCTACGGATCAGCCTTACTATTTTCCCATCAGTTTCTGAGATACTTTGTTCATTGGAATTGTTTTCAGCTTGATTAGAACCATAGCATGTAAAACCAATTAGGAAATTATCTGCAGACTTGATATTTAATTGATGTAATTGAACCATAGTCTATGTTCTAAGTTGTCTTCTTTTATGGGTTTCAAGCATTTTGCTCTTTAAATTAGCGATGATGTTGGTTGATTTATAACAGATAGCTAGTCACCTTTCAGTGAGGTTTCATTGAGACTTTTTTGTGTCTCTAGGTTTATTGAGATAACGTTTTTTAAAATTAGCTCTTGTCCTCCCTCTACAGGAGAATTTGCAGCCTTCAAGTAGCCACACCATCATGGCAGCATCTACTCTTACTTCTTAAGTCTTGTGTTCGTACAATTTGTTAACATCAAAACACAGTTCTGTTCCTCAGATCTTTTTTTAAAGATTCAAAATTTTCAGTGCATAAGCTGGTGTGGAACAGAATGGAATTTTCCATCCAAGAAAAGAGGGAAGAATGTTTTAGGAACCAGAATTCTCTGCTGCCAGTGTTTCTTCTTCAACACAAACACCATGTGCATACAAGTCTGCCCACTCCCAGGAAGAAAGAGGAGAGACCCTGAGTTCTGACCTTTTGATGGTCAGGCATGATGGAAAGAAACTGCTGCTACAGCTTGGGCAATTTGCTCTGGAAGGTCTGCCGGTCAACTGTGCCCTTCTAACCACCAGATCAATGCGTGGCTGATCATCTGATGGGGCAGTTGCATTCACCAAGCACCGTTCACTTTCCTGTTCTGGGATTCTGTTGTGGAGCTCTTTCCCCTAGCCACCACCGGTTAATTTCTGAGGGACGGAACAAAAATGCAGCATGCCCTTCTGTGTGGTGCGTGTTCAGTCCTTGACAGATTTTTATCAGAATGAGCTATTTTATCGAAATGGAGGATGAGAGGGGAGACGGAGCTACGCTTTGGTGCAGAGGAAAAGGGAATGCTGCATCTTTTTCCTGACCTCCTAGATTCTGGCCTTTATTTCCTTGCTCATTGAGGGTGTCTGCCTATCCAAGCAGGCTGGAAAGGGCTGGCACTCGTTGCCGTCTTTGCTCATTGGGTCCAGCAATGAAGAGAAGTGTTTGGGGATTTTTTTCTCCTCCACAATATAGCAAGTTCTCAGGAAAATCTTCCTCCTAAGCTCTTCCAAGTCACCAAGTACTTAAGTGGCTACTTTGTCCAAGGCACAAAAACGCCATGGTGGTATCTAACGAAAAGTCTACAAAACTGCTTGATAACGGTTTTGAATGTGAGACACTTATGTAATTTAAATGTAAGGTACAAGTTTTAATTTCTGAGTTTCTTCTATTATATTTTTATTAAAAAGAAAATAATTTTCAGATTTAATTGAATTGGAATGAAATTATACTTCCCACTAGAATTATATATCCTGGAAAATTGTATTTTTGTTATATAAACAACTTTTAAAGAAAAATTATCCTTTTCTCTACCTAAATATGGGGAGTCTTAGCATATGACAAATATTTATAATTTTTAAATTAATGGTACTTGCTGGATCCATACTAACATCTTTGCTAATATCTCATTGTTTCTTCCAGTTTACTTCTACACTACATCCTCATCCTCTTTCTAGTCTTTTATCTAGAATATGCAACCTAAAATAAAAATGGTGGTGTCTCCATTTATTCTCCTTCTTCCTTTTTTCCCAAGCCTGGTCTTCAAAAGGTTGGGTAATCTGGCAGCTGAGGTCCCCAAGCAAAGAACAGAGCAGTTGTAGGTGTGTCAGGACTGAGAGAGGGTGTGTGAAGCCCAACATCAGTTGTTTTTATAGAAAGCTGCTGTGATATTAAGAACCTCATTCTCTATCTTTGTATAAGTAAGAAATATAACCTAGTCCTAGCTTCCCTTGGCCTCTGATAAGGGTGGTGTAAGTCACAGTAGGGACAAAGAAAGGGACTCTGGACATATTAATGGTAAATTATTGACAAATACCTATCTTATCATGAGTCTAGAATCTCTCTCATCAGGATTTAGGAATGTACATTGAATCAAATGTATTCAGCCCAACCAAGCTGGGTAGCTAAGGGTCTGAAAGAAATTAGACAGGACCTATAAAATAAACCAGGGAATTAGAAATTGTTATAAAATTGCAAATTGTAACTCACCCCACTATCTTTCAGTCTGCTAAAGCTCACTGCCATTAGATGATTTTTGCTGAAATACCTGTATTTACAGGAAAGCCTACCAAAAATTTCACAGATTTGTGAAAAGCTGTCCCAGTAGGATAAAAATACAGTTTATTGGTTTGAAAAGCGGTGTGTTCTTAAATGTTACATGGGCAGAGCAGTATCTTGACAAAATTCAGAAATTGCACAGGTGGAGGTGATTCCTGCTCATTTGAGGAGCATCTTGTGTGTATAATACTGCCTCTGTGAAAAGCATTGTTTATTTTTCTTTCTAAAGTTGGTCCCCATGGATGCTTTTAAACGTGCTTGTGTTTTCTTTACCAAGATCTTGGAGAGCTGGGTGTAAACTGGGGCTAAGCCCGAGTGCCGAGCAGGCGGAGCCTGGCGCAGGCGCTGGACTGCCTGGGGCGGCCCAGGTTAGCGCTGGAACGGAGGACGCTTAGCACTGGAGTGCTCCGGACAAAATTCACTTGTACACTAATACACTTTTCTCTTCCCTTTCTCTTTAAAATAGGTTGCTATCTCATTTGAAAAGAAGGAACAGACTTGATCTCAAATGCATATGTGCCCAGAAGCCAGGCTCAGGGTATTCTTGAGAGATTTTTTTAGAGCCCTTAAAAAATAAAAACAAGATTTAAAAATTTCCCTTTCCTTCCTTTTATCAATCAGATTGTTTTTGCTCTCGTTTACAACTGATAGGAAAAAGGGTTTACCTCTGAGTTTCACTTGCTTTATTTTTTGATGCTTAACTACAGATAGACTTGCTGAGCTCCTAAGAAATACAAGGAAGAACTCCTTGATGTGCTAAGCACTTTATGGTAATTTGTATAAATAGTATGTGGCTGCTTCACTGATTATCTTGTAAGGTTGTAGTTACCTGTCTTTTCCATTAAGTGGCTGCAGTGCCTTCTGTGGTGTATTTTACTTTGGGTGAGGAGAGGTGAAGCCTTCTGAAAAATTTGAGAGCAACCATAAATGATTGTTTTAAAAGATGTAGGATTCCTGGTGGACTTTTTTTTTTTTTTAACTGTTAAACTACAGTCTAGGGTCTAGACTTTTGCCACTGAAATAATATTGACCAAAAAGTAGTTTATAAAAGGGATTTGTGAGTAGAAAAATCCAGTGTGATTATTTGTACTGTGCACCTTAGAAGGTTTTGTCTAGCTGTCAAATTCTGGCTCCTGAACGTGCAGTCCCTGATTGTGTGTGAGGTCCGCTAGGACAAACGGGGGTGTCCTAGAAGATGAAATCACATATGTAAAGTTACGTGTTAGACTCATGTTGGTGTTGGAGAAGAAAGGGCACTATGTAGTTACAAAGAAATAAGTCAGGACTTCAACGCTGTCAGCCTGAAACTGTAAATAGTTTCTAGGTTCTCGTGGGGTGCAGTCACAGTGCTCTATCACATCGTGTTACCTTCTGTTCGCCAGGCAGCCTTGCAACGGCTGCACGTCCCTCCGCAGCCCTCACCGCCCCTCCTGTACGCTCACCCTCCGCCTCATCCAGCTTTAGTCCGAAGCATACTGCAGAGTTCAGGTGACCTCTTCAAAAACTACCTCCTCAGAATGAGGTAATGAATAGTTATTTATTTTAAAATATGAAAAGTCAGGAGCTCTAGAACATGAAGATGATTTAGGATTTTAACTTTTATGTGTGCTTGTATGTGAGTGCTCTCATTTCGTCCATAAGGGCATTATACATTTAAGCAGTAATACTGAAAAAATGTAGCTCAGTCAGAGTGTCTGAATGTCGTTGCAAGTGGTGCCAGAATCTGTTTAGGGGTACGTTTCAGAATCTCAACCATAAGTAGTTACATGCAATGAAATAGTTACAGTATCACTTCACTAACAGTGATATAATTTTAATTTTCAGTGGGCTTGGCAAGACAATACACCTTCATAATGAGTTACCCACAGCTTTGTCACACGCACAGATACTCCAACAGACTGCCCGGCTCAGAGGGCAGAGAATTACTACCCATTTCACAAGATTCTCTTCTCTGTCCAAGTTGGCATTGTTAGTGCTAGAAGAGCAGCACCTCCAGACTAGCTGATTCCAGCCATTAGGCTATATTTTCAAAACACATAGCCAGACACAGAAGGTTTACTGTGAGTATGAACAAGAAATAGCGTATAGATCACACATTGGAATGGTGAAGGTGAGGCTCTAGAAAAATACCTTGACAATTTGCCAAATGATCTTACTGTGCCTTCATGATGCAATAAAAAAGCTAAAATATTAGCAGAAATCAGTGACTTGTGAAGAGAGCAGCCACTCTGGTCTAACTCAGCTGTGTTAATATTTTTTAGAGTGCAATTTAGACTGCAAAGATAAATGCACTAAAGAGTTTATAGCCAAAATCACATTTAAGAAAATGAAAAAAAAAAAAAAACAGGTAAATTTTCAGTGAACAAAATTATTTTTTTAAAGCACATAATCCCTAGTATAGTCAGATATATTTATCACAGAGCAAATAGGTTGAAATTATAGTTCAGTGACATTTCTAGAGAAACTTTTTCTACTCCCATAGGTTCTTCAAAGCATGGAACTTTTATATAACAAATATTTGACAGACATTTTAAGAAATTGCTGTAGTGTAAGGTTGAAGTACTGTATGCTGGGCAGCAGTTGTGTGTTAACTTAGTGAGAAGGGGGAAGGAAATTAAAATATGGGACAGAATTTGATTTTACCAGTGTCCAGAATACTGCTGCCAACCTAGACACTGATTTTTCAGAGTTTGAAATATAAACTTGCCTCCCAGGACTGGCTGGCGAATTGAACAGGACGGTGCTGCTAATGCTGTGTGGGGTGCTGTATGAGAGGGCATTGGCACAGTTAATGAATGACCTGGCCGTGGGTGTGAACTGGACACATTCCATGGTGTGCTTCTTGTAACTTGTTTCATTCCTCACCACCCAAGAAAGGCAATATACTGTCTCCAGCAAGTTCTCGAGATGTTTGACTAAGGCGTGTTACTGATGCCCATAGGTCGTTGAGCACCCGAGGAGTACTGTAGCCCCTCTGCCTGACTCGCATATTGGCCCGTGTAGAATGAAGTGGCCAGTGTATTCATGTTCCGTGTTGCCGGCTCTGATAAAATTGAAAATGCTGGTAAGATTTTTGTTGTATCAGTAAGCTTTGTTTTGTTGTTTTCAGATGATTTATTTTGTACTTCTGTTTGGGCCTTTACATTGAAATTCAGCCCTAAATTTTGTCATTTGTAGAAAGGATAATTAACAGTTTCTGTCAGGTATTTTTAAGGTAGAAGAGGACAAAAACTTAAGTCCTAAAATCTTAAATTAACTTAACAGTGCTTTATTTTGAAATGCACAGGGACAGTTAGTCTCCACCTCAGAAAAGTGTTTTAGTAGATCTTTTATTTCAGCATCACAACTTCAACTGTTAATTCAGGCCTATTAATTACTAAATCAGTTTCATTAAAATGTTTAATTTTATTTAGGTGTTTTGGCTAATTAATTACAATGGTATAACCATCTGTGCACAAGGACACAGCCAACGTTTTTTTTGTGATGCATTTTTTAAAAGAATTCTATATCTTGAAATACTCTTTAAAAATAAAAAACTGAAATATGTTTATTCATGATAGTATCAGAAAAAGGAGAAAGGATTTGTGCAAACCATCCACGTCTCCTGACAGGCTGAGCAGGTTCTCCAGCACCCGTGAGAGGCTCATTCTGATTGCGATGTCTCCATAGGAAATGAGTTTCACTCAGGAGACGCAGCAGAGAAGGGGTCCTCGTTACAGGGGTGCAGTGGGGTCAAGAGTAAGTTGCTTAGTACCAGTTTTCTTTGGAAAAGTATTGTGTTGTGTTTGTGTGTTAAGCTTTTTAACCCATGTGTGTTTTGGTGGAGTAGGAGTTACATAGGAGGAAACTTCAGACTAGTTTAAGCAACAAAGCTCACAGACTAGGCACAAATGTAGACAAAAATGGACCAAATAGGATGGGGGAGGGCGTGGGAATAAGTCTGAGGGTAGGGAAAAATTGATGTGAGGGTGGGACACAAACCATAATTATCTGAAATAAAATGTAAGAGTGCAATAAGTGTGCTTTTTATTCTAAGCTGTGAACGGTTTTTTAAGAAAATCATTCCTTCCTTACACATTTGTGTGTGTTCCAGACATAGCTGATTAAAACCAGCTATGAAAACATAATGCCTTTTTATTCACATTAATTACCAACATAAGTGGCTAATCTCTGTGTCTTATTTATCTTCATGTTACATTGGTTTACATACGGGGTGTGTGTGCACGCTGTGCCCTTTTCCCTCCGTTTGAACATGTGCTCGTTCGGTCTTCTGTTTCCTTTGGCCACGCCACGCACTGCAGTCTCGGTTTGGCCTTCATGATGTCGCCTGATGGGAAAGACTATCGCAGTGATATATTTCCGTTGGTTGTACACTCCGGCCCTTTCCTCACCCAGCAGTTCCCGCTTCTCCTAAAGCAGGAGCGTACAGCCGATTGGGGGATTGCGTTTGACCATTTACGGACATGTTCCGTTGAATTCTCTACAGTAGTTGTGGTTGCTCTTTGGTTCAGACCAAGAAAAAAGACATCACCCCCCTTTTCATTTACATCTTGGTTTGAGGATGCATCTTCTGTAAGGGAGAGGAAAGGGAAGCCCTTCACGTTTTCACCGAGGGGGATCAGTGGCTCCAGGTTCACCGCTCCAAACCTCACGGCAGTTCCCGTGCACATCCCTCTGTCTCGCTGCCAAAGGTTCGGGTGTCGCTCTCTCCAGCCCCACTTGAGCACTGAGAAGGCTCTCGGGGGGTCTGGGTGTGCCCAGTGAACGACGGGGGCTTTCTAACTGCCCACAGACCTCTCTGTACCTGCTTTGCAAAAATTATGGAGTAACTATTTTTAAAACTTATTTTTGAATTCATAAAAAAAAGACATTTATTTTCAGTCAAATGGATGATGTCTCCCTCTTGACCCTTAATCCTCAGTGTTTGCTTGAATCTTTTTTTTTTTTCCCCCAATTCTTCCCCAAACCGACTTCTTGATACTTTGGTTCTCTTTCCTGCTCAGGTCCCTTCATTTGTACTTTGGAATTTTTCTCATGTAAATTTGTACAATGGAAAATATTGTTCAGTTTGGATAGAAAGCATGAAGAATTAAATAAAAAAAGATAGCTGAAACTCAGATTGAAGAAATTTATTTCTGTGTAAAGTTATTTAAAAACTCTGTATTATATAAAAGGCAAAAAAAGTTCTATGTACTTGATGTGAATATGCGAATACTGCTATAATAAAGATTGACTGCATGGAGAAGTCTTTATCAATAGTATTTTTCCAGCACTCTCGCATCCAGGAACGGAAGTAGTCAGGGTGTTGTCAGGCTTCCGGGCAGTGGAAGGCCTGGGATGGTACGTTTTGTTTCACACGTACAATGTCGATGACTGCTTGGTGAGTAGAAGTTACTTAACAGACAAAACAGTTTTAAAGTTGTCAAACCAGACACCTGCTACATTGTACTGGCCACACTGTTGTAGAGATGACCCTCAAGTATTTCAGTTCTGCCACCTGGCTGGTCCCCTCCAAGGGCGCAGGTGAAGTGCATGCTCTAATGGGGCCATTGAAGGACTCTGTCTGGAGCTTTCAAACTTTGTTGACACAACTTTCAATAATGTTTTCTGTAGTAACACAGAATGTACACACACACACACGTATATATCTGAAACTGCGCGCTCGTGTTTTTTACCACTACTTTTTTTTTTAATGGCGGCTACCCCAAAGAGTTGATTTTATGCATTTGATTTCAGTACTTGAAGTTTGAAAGGTACCCAGAGTATCTTCAAACTATGTCAAATTACTGAGCAAAGTTTCCAGGAGTAAACTATTTAGAAACTTTGCCTGGAATCACGGCATTTGAGGACAATAGGAACAGAAAATTTCAACAGTGCACGTTTTTGACATGTCTGGTTTCTGGTCTTCACGCCTCTCCAAATAATCATGAAACACTGCCCAGACTTCGAAGTACTTTCTCTGAACTCTGTTTTTCTCACCTGAAAAGTGTGATTCTGTAATAAAAATGTCTTAGAGACTCATTTTCTAAATAATCTTCATAGATAATTACAACAATCGTGGCCATATTTTTAAAGAATGTATTCTATAAGAGGTTTCCTTAAAAGTTAGCCCAGAATTGTGAATGCTTTAATTGTTGTGATGAAATCCTATTACAAAGCACCCTACCACAGTAGCTTTTCTGAAATTTTGTCAGGAGTTGTGACCATTGGACCTCCTGTCTGAGTTAGATAGTCCTAGATGCACAAAATGTCGGAGCAGACAGTTCTTAAAGATAACCTGGTCCAAGTCTCCTCAGTTCCTGCGTGTGAAGCCCCAAGGGTGGCCTGCCTAGGCTCGTAGAGCCGGGACTGAGGTCAGGACTCCTGTTTCCCACATCAGTACTTCGTGTTTGATATCACTTTGCCGTGATGCCTGTCATGGTATTTGGATAGATACGGGTGTTGTGCAAGGCTTAGGTAACGAAAGCAAAGGTCCAGCTGCTGAGGCCGGTCAACAGCAGGTCAAGCAGCCCTCACTTCCTCACTGCACACTGTCGTTCCGGTGACACTCCTGTTGAGACCGTGGCCACAAGCAACCAGATCGACCTCTTCTTCAGAATAGTTCTAGTGGTGCGTGGAGCCAAGACTACCTCCTTACCTTCCTGTGATGCGGGTCCAGCGCTTGTTCCTTGTACGATACCTCCTGTCTCCAACTTGGTTAGATAACCCATTGTGTTCTTCACACTCGAGTTTCCACGGGAAAGCAAGCTCCAAATTTTGGGTTAAAATGTGACACCTGATCTCACCTGCCATCAGTAATTCCTTCACCACCTACCTTCCCATTTGGGAAGGTCCAGCTCTCCAGGTACACCCTAAAACTTGCTTTGAACGTAGCTTCAGCTCCTCATTAGGGAGACATCCTAAACGTCTTTCTGGTTTTAGGCAGAGGCGGTGCAGCACTGCATCTGGTGGGATGCCTGATTGCAGCTGAATCTGTCTCCGTATGAAGGCTTTTCTATAAAATCAGACTGGGACTCAGGGGTCACTGTAAACGTGGCTTAGGCCCAGTGGCCTGGGAATAAGTGACTTCAATTTAGAGAGCGTTTCCTTCACACCAGAGGTCATTCTAAGGACTGTGTGTGCTAACCCATTTACTCTGTCCATGTAGCAATGAGGAGACTGAGGCATTTGATCTGTGGATCGAATGAGTAACCTGGCCAAACTCACAGCTAGTAAATGGTGGGGCAGTGAGTCAGATCCACAAGCTTGCCTCCAAAGCCAGGGTTCTTAAACCCGGCCAATTTTTTAAGATGCAGGTTGAGACCCATCAATGAGTAGTAAAAGGAGTCTCAACCATTTTTTTCTGTAGAAGACAAGAGAAAAGATCAGTGCATCACAGGTGAGTACTGTTTCATAAAAGTTTTAGATTATATGTGCGTAATTGATATTTTAGGTCACAATGTAAAAGTAAGAGTAGGTCTTGAGGGAGGAGGGAGGTGTAGGGGGAATAAATGGTAATGGAAAAAAATAGTTAAAAAAAAGTGGGTCATAAAAAGGTTTACACTATGCTGTACTAACTCTGGGATATGCTGACTTAACCTAGGGCCGGACAGCCAGGATTTGAACCTCAGCTCCCTAACTGGCTGTATGAGCTTGGGCAAATTACCCAACCATTCTGTAGCCCAACTTCATCTATAAAACAGACTAAGAAAATTGAATAAATTAACACATTAAGTTTTTGCTGTTACTTAACTGCATGTAGCCATCCATCAAATGTACTGAACATCTCTCTGGGACCCTCTTCACTTGAGTATGCTCCTGTAAGTTGTAACAGCCTTTGAGAGAAGCCTGGGGACAGGCTCTGCACCAGCGCAGACTGGCTTCCCAGCCCAAGTATGGGAAAGGGGACCCAGTGGGGGGAGGCCACGTGGCTGATTTTAGAAGACTGCCGTCTTAAAGTTCCCTTGGATTTCAAGTCAGGCCATTTTGGTCGATCTTGAAGGAAAAGAGCTAATGACATCCTACTTGAGTTAACTTATAAATTGTGTTCTTTCCCCCAAATTTTCTTGATATGGTGGGACAAGGGGCAACAGAAATAAGTGAAAAGTACAGAGATCTGATGGTCTCTGCAACTAAATATTCATCAGCTGAGACAGCTCACTCGCACACAGGTGAGGAAACACAAAACCCAGGGTCATGTCCCAGCACCCCCGCCACAGGCTCGGGGCTGCTGGAGCCGGGGGATGGTGGAAGAGAGAGAGGCTGCCGGTTCCACTTGCTTCAGCCTGTCATTGTGCCCCCCCCCCACCCACCCACCCACAACTGAGAACGAGAGGGAGTGCAGACCTAGGGAAGGACTAGGCGTGCTCACCAAATCACACCCCACCCACCCCGCTCAGGGCCTGCCACAAGTTCCTCGCTGCATTGCCCATCAACCTGAACCTGCAGCCATCACCTATTAACCTCCTCTGCCCCAACCTCTCCTCACCTGCAGGGACCCCACTGGACTTTCTGTTCCTTCAACACGCTGACTTTGGTCCCGCCCCAGGTTCTGGTGCTTCGTGTTCCTCGTCCCTACAGCACTTTCCCCTCAGACTTTGTGAAACTGGTTCCTCCCACTACTAGTTCAGGTTCCTGGTCAGATGCTTTCCTGGCCCACCCAAAAGACCACCCACCTCCAGCATATCACACAATGTTACTTTTGTTACTTTTTTCATAGCACTTGTCAACTTTTTTTCCCTCCCTAAAATCTAAGTTCCCTGTGAACAGAATCTTATGTCTTGTTTAGCATTGTATTCCCAGTGCCTAGGTGGTCAAAAACCCAAATTAAAAATATGAAGAGTTTCCGGGCAAGTCAATAAGCCGCGCTACCCTGCAGATTTTTACCTGTGGATAGAGGGAAATCCTGTCCTTCCAGCTCTCAGAATTTTGACGCTACAGACAGCTGGAAAGTACTTTGAAACAAATTCTAGAAAAAGTATACATTTCATCCATCTCCCATTGCTACAGTCCTAAGAATTCCTAGTGAAAGTGTCTTATGAGTTCCATAAATGACCACTGAACACAGTGCTCAGCCCACAAGAGATTCATAAACACAATAAACGGCCTGCCCTGACCTCTAACCTCTGTACACTCAGGGCAACAGGACACCAGCAGTAGAGAAACTATAGGTTTTCACATCAACTCTCAACAAACAACTAAGACATTAGCTAGGGAGGCAGGCAGTGTTGCACTGGAGCTAAGTGTGGGGTCAGACTGAATGTCATCACCCATCAGTGTGTCACCCCAAGCACGTCATTCGTCCCCTGACACTCGATGTCCTCCCCAATGAAAGGCGCTAACAGCAGCCTGTGCCGCGGGCACCCCAAGAGGACCCTCTGAAAGGGCCTGTAAGCGGCCGGCACAGGAAATAATCCAAAGAGGGCGGCTGTAATCAGAAACATCCGTAACTCAGTTCCCCATTCTTGACCAAAACACTTTATTTTACAACTTCTATATCCAATGTAAACTGGAGTCCGTAACTTCATGAACTTCTCACCTAGCTCCTGCAGAAAAACAAAAATGGAAAGCTTTAAGTACTCTCCTTTTCAGTAATGCAAATCCATAATTCTGTTCACTCAATCACTCAAGCATCCACTCAGCACTAGTCGTGTGAGCGGGCTTGCAGAGGAGGGAAGCAAAATCACCACACTCTCTCCAAGGGCCTACACGCAGGGTATCCAACATTGGCGTCTCTGGGCCACACTGGAAGGAGACCAGTTGTCTTGGCCCAACACTAACGAAAACTGATGAGCGAAAAAAAAGTTTTATTACGTTTACAATTTTGTATTGGATCTCATTCACAGCCATCCTAGGCCACATGCAGCCCGTGAGCGCAGGCTGGACAGCCAGGGACAGTCTGGTTATTACAACAAACAACCAGACAACGCGTGTGGGGACGCTGGGACCGCTGGGAGAGGGCACGAGGGGGTCGGTGCTGGCAGACACATTAACAGGGGGAGCGGAGGCCCGGGAAGGACTGGGACCTCTCACTGTCCGTTAACAAACCCGGGACACACAAGCTGTAGAACAGCTTGAACTGCCTGCCTTTTGGTGACATTTTTTCCTATCCACCTCCTCCCTGTACACCCAAAAACTGCTGTAATTTTCAGGTCAATAAGCTACTTCTAATTAAAATTATAAAGGCAATACTAGTAGTACAATTTGAATGGGAACACTCAAGTATCATTTAATGCTTCCTATCCTTTAAAACAATTTTTGAGGCATTTTGAATGATGGCAATTAAAATTGTGCAATGATTAATTTAAAAACACGTTAAGTGAGAACGTCTTAACCTCCGAGGGGCTGCAGGACAAGGAACTCCTCTAATACCTTCCTTCTGAAAAAAGAAAAACTGACTTCCTGGTCTGGAAACGAAAGGGTCCTAACCTTGTACTGTTTAAATAGTTAATTTCCATGCAAACCCATAGCATGGCATTCCCATGTGCTGGAACATTCCATGTGAGTGCTGAGGGAGAACACGGCAGTGTTTTTGCAACTACAAACACACACACTGTGCACCCCCATCTGTCTCGTCCACTCCTTTCATCTCTGTGCACAGTTGGTACTTAAAAGCCTTTGCCGGATAAATGGGACCCTAAATTGTAACATAACTTAAGAAAAAATAAATTTTTAAAATATACAATGAAAAGGAAGAGGAGACCAAATTAGGGCGGGGTGAGGTGTGCAGCAAATGTAAAAACGCTGTATTCAGACACGAGACATGGTAAGAGCTAATGGTTCTCCATACTGTTAGAAAGTACATACTCCTTCGAGACCATCACAGGTGCGAAGTCAGAGGAGCGTTACCGACAAAAGGTAAGTATAACTTTAAAAAAGCAGAAACCTGGGGCAGACTCACTTGCCAAGAGCCGAGCCTCCGTCCTCAGTCTTCATCATCAGGAGGGATGCCCAGCTCCTCGTCCGTCCACTGGGAAGGGTCTGGATACGGGAAGTGGCCCTGGTGACATCATTACAGAGCAAAACCAAAGAAGAGTCAACACTCTACACGCCACACAATTCCATTTCAAAAGAAACCTTGAAAGTAAGAAAATGTGATAATGCTGGGACAAACACAGCCCCTGACACGCCACAGGAGCAAGCCCTACCACCGCACTCAATGGTCCGCCTGCCCTTCGATCTGTCGAGTGTGAGCTGTGGCCTGAGTTTAAGAGCCTGCTGGTTCTGAAGCCGCCGGCCTGAGCGGAGGTCGAGTACGTGTTTGTGATGGAGGACAGGGGAGACGGAGGCACCGGATTTCAAAGGCACCCCACATCTCAACAACGTCTTCAAGCCCTGGCACCACGTAACGCATGTCCTGAACTGTTCTGTCGTTCCTGCTGGAGATCTGGGCCCTGCAGGGGAAGCATTCATCTTCAACCCCGATCTAGGGCGCATCCGGCTGCTCCATCGTCTCACGCCAAATAGCCCCAAACCCTCCTGAAAGCTGGCCCACGACGAGGCCGGCGCCCATGTGCTGCCAGTGGAGACAGTGGGCAGCTGCTCGCTGGGCAGCCGGACGCAGAGGTTCTAAGAGGAATGGGATATTAATCAACCTGACGCTTCTAAAACTTACTGCACATTTCTCCCTGCCCTAAGAACAAAAACAAATTTACTAAATTTACTAAAATTCAAAATATTCTGGCTCAACAAGCACCGACTTCAGTGGCTTAAAGCCGTCATTTCCTAGGGAACAGGGTCTGTACAAACACAGTAAGACTTCCCTCCTCAAAGCACATCAGCCCACATCCACCCCACCCCAATCTGGCTGCCTTGGGCACCCACACAGACTACATGACAGTCACTACTGAAAGAACTGAAGTGTGAAACCTAAGCTGCTGATGAACTCCTAGTTCAGAAGGTAAAAAGGAATTAGTTTCTAGTCTCCCTCCAAATACGGCAAACTAACAGACAAGCCACGGACTGCCTACCTGTGCACCCCTTAGCAGAAAAGGTCAGACATGTTTCATTAACAAGATTCCTGCCTACACACAGGACAACACGAAGGATGCACAGTAGCCCCCCCTAGTCCGGAGGACACATTCTGAGACCCCCACAGTGAATGCCTCAAACCATGGATAGTACTGAATCCTACGCATACAATGTATTTCCCTATACATTAATGCCTTTTCCCTTAAAGGAAGCACTTGACGACATGTCTCTGGCAGATCTGAATTGCCAGCGTCACTGCCCTTGTGCCTTGCAGCCGTTATTAAGTTAAAAAAAAGGGTGGCTTGAACACAAGCACTGCGATACAACGCTCGGTCCGATAACCGAATGGCTACTAAGTGGGCAGCTGGCAGACACTGTGAACAGTGTGGAGGCCGTGCACGAAGGGACGGTTCACCTCGCGGCAGGACGGAGCAGGCCAGCACGAGGTTTTATCACACTGCTCAGAATGGGGCACAATTTAAAACGTATAAATTCTTTATGTCTAGAACTTTCCATGTAATATTTTCAGACCACGGTTGACCCAGGTAATTAGAACTACGGATAGGAAAGCAGTCTACCCACACGGAAAAAAAAAAAGCTAAGCTACTGATATTTCTTCCCCCTTCCCACCCACGAGGAGAAGAACATTGCCCCGCACCTACCAGCACAGCGTCCGAGTCGTGCCAGAAGCGCCAGAGGATCCAGAACCACATGGTTCCGCTGAAGAACTCGGCCTGGATCACCTGGGATCGGGTGAGCTGGGGAAACTGTCTGTACTGGGGCTCGATGTGCACGCCGCCACCGGCGCTACGAGAAGGAAGGAGAATGTCAGGCAGCTTGCGGCATCTTCAAAGCACCCGGTCGTCCAAAACTCTCGAGTTACATCCAGAAACAAGAGCTAACACTTCTCTCCTCCATGAAGTACAGAAAGAGAGCGCTCCAAGAGCCCTCAAAACATTCATTTTTCATAAGGCTCACTTTAAACTTGTATAGCAGCAAACACTGGACTGAACTGACGAGCGAATTATGAACTTCCTTTAGTGAACGAACATTCGTGTATCACGCACCAGAAATAGGAAGGTGTTGATGACGAGGTACTGGTCCCAAGAATCAAGATGGGTTAAGGGGTTATGAACCTAGAGTAAGTAGTCATGAGTTTATCCAGAAAAATAAGCAAATTAATTTTGTTCTATTTTAACCATCGATTTCAAAGGCAAATTACGTCCTCTCCTCTGTCACAGTCTTCATTAGAAGACCACTCCATGGGAAAGACAACAGTGTGACAATAGGTTGCTTCTTTTACAGGTTTTAGATGCGATCTAGTTATAAGGGTCCATCGTTTAAACTCATTAAATAAGATTTGAGAATTATAGTTCAAACCACTCTCCACATTTCATTATTGCTCGAATGACATGTTATTTTAACTATGACTTGAAATAAGTGGGGTCCCAAACCAAGATTTTTAAGTGTCAAGTTTAAACACAAAAATGCACCATACCTCTCGGTGAAAGTTACGTTTTCAAAACCTAACCCAAACCATGTTACTTTAAGGCGTGAAAGCCTGTATCCCTTCCCATCCCATCTGCCTCATCACCTACAAGGCCCTCCCTAATCTGGCCCCAGCAGGTCTCTGACCCAACCTCGACCACTCCCCTCCGCTCACCCCACTCCAGCCTCCCAGCTTGCTGGCCCGTCAGCAGCACTCAGATCCCCTGCATCTGCTGTCTCCCTCTTGGAGATGCTCTTCCTGGCGTCTTTGCTTGGCTTACTTCTCATCACTCAGGTCCTGGTTCAATTCAAACCATCAGGCATGCATTCCTACATCATCCTGCACATAGTAAGCCATCCCTCATCCCAGAGACTCTAGATTAATCCCTCGCTTTATTTTCTTCACATCACTTAATAGTACCTAGCCCTAGCTGGTGTGGCTCAGTGGATTGAGTGCCACCGTGTGAACCAAAGGGTCACTGATTCGATTCCCAGTCAGGGCACATGCCTGGGTTGTAGGCCAGGTCCCCAGTAGGGGGTGTGCAAGAGCCAACCATACACTGATGTTTCTCTCTCTTCCCCTCTAAAAAAAAAAACTAGTACCTAAAAGTTGTTTCTTTTCTACTTGTGTCCTTTCTCCAGAATGGATGTTCCATTATCTTCCCTGTTTTCTGCTCTATCCCCAGCACCTAGAAAGAATCCTGGAATCTAGAAGATACTCCATAAATACAGGGTCCAGCAGAAGTAACCCCTGCTTGAATGTGGTTGGTAGGGTAATAACATGGGTGTCATAATCTATAGTTTTAATTTTAAAATTTCACCTAAAATGTCATACAGTGTGCTTCAGTGTGATGCTGTATGTTACAGAATTACAGGCTTATGATTTTGCAATAAAAGGGGGGGGCATTATTTGTGCCAGACCCTGTATTTATTCACTTATCACTCACACTGTAACATCAACATGTGCAATGGAAGAACCAAGACCTCAGTGAACAGCACCCACCCCCCGCCCCCCGGTCTCCCCAGGCAGAGTCAAGGGCTACTGCTGGGAGCTCTCCATTCCTGTCTTAGCTCAGGTCACCTAGGCCTTCTCCTTCTTCCCCCCCAACACCTGTCCCAGCTCCATGTCCTTAATAAACATATGACTTTAGACAAGTCACTCCTTTAATTTCCCTGAGTCTCAGTTCCCTCACAACAGCAGGTAAATACTCGTATGGTCCTTACTCTGCACAAGCACCTGCCCTGAAACCCTTTAGAGAATGCTAATTCATGTACTCCCCTGCAGTCAACATTATTATCCCACTGCACAGGTGAGAAAGCTGAAGCATGAAGAGATGGAGACACTTCCAAGGTCACACGGCTGGTGGGGCAGGCACTCTCCCGCACTGCCTGTTGGTAAAGTACAGAGGATGATCTAAGGGGCCTTCCACAACACCCGGAAAAGCCCAAGGTACTATTTGCAGCGCGGCTCTTACTGACTCGGCACTACCAGCTCGTTTTTGGCAGGTGTGCCCTCCCCCGGCATCCCAGTGCTAAGCCTTCCAGCCGACTTTTTGGGCCACATACTTCACCAGTTGACTCTTTTGCTCACTCCCTTTAATGCTGGTGTTGCAAGAGTAAACTCTAACGTAAAATACGAACTTTGGGTGGCAATGTTTTGTCCATGTAGGTTCATCAACTGTGACAGACGTACCACTCCGAAGGGAGAGGGTGACAATGGAAGAAGTGATGCATGTTGGGGGGAGGGGGGGCGGCATATGAGAAGTCTCTGTACCTTCCACTCAATTTTGCTGTGATTCTCAAACTGCTCTAAAGAATAAATCTATTTTCTTAAAAAAAGAAAAATTCTGATATTGCCCGAACATCCACTTTTGGCCCTCTTCTCTCCCACCCTTCCACTCCCTCTGGGTGATCGCCTCCCGTGCCTTAGAGAACTACTAATTCTCCAACCCGCAGCCAGAATGATTTTTCAGAATTAAAATCTGGCCACATGACATCTGACTGAAACCTCTCAACGACCGCGGTCGCCTGGGTTACTTTCTTCAGCCAGGCATCAGGACTCTGTATCGTTCTCTCCCTATGCCCTAAAGCCTCCAGCCTCACCTCTGCCACTGCCAGCTTCGCACTTGGCCTAGACCGCCCTCGCTTCTTCAACTCCTGCTCTAGCTTCCAGATTAGCTTCAGCCTGTGTCCCCATCCAACTGTGAAGTTCTCGAAGGCAGGAGGCCCTTGGTGCAGGAATGTGTCGTCACCCTCCCCAACCCCCCACCCCTACACACAGTGTTTAGTATCATCCAAGGGAACAGCGTCCCCACTCCCCCACTGCAATCAGCTCTCGCAGGACCTGGCGTGGCGGAGCGAGAAGGACGCACCGACCCACGCGCAATCGGACTACAAGTCCCAGCATGCATCGGGGTGAAGGTCGCAGCAGGACCCGGATCCGCCCCTGGAGGCCAGCATCAAGGTGAGTATGTCCCAGAGGCTAGCGCTTTCAGTTAGAAGCAGCCAAAGCCCCCACCCCCGGCCGACACTCACTGACGGACTCCGTTTCCAGACGCCCGCGCGCGAAGGACTCTGAAGAGGCTGCCCCCGCCGCGCACAAAAGGCGCCAGCCGCGTCACAGCCGACATGACCGCCCAGGTCCGGACAGCCGCCCCAAGGCCGCCCCCCTACGTACACGTCATTTCCCCCCGGCGCCCCGCCCCTTACGTCAGCGCGTCGCCCCGCCCTTGGGCCTGAGTTTGCTGTCTGAGGGGCCGAGAAGCGACGGTTCCCAGTTCAGATTAACATCTCAGATCCTCCGCAGGGGAGGGCCGAGCGCAAGGAGGGACCCGGAGCCTCCTGGTTTAGAGGGTGAGAAGGCGCCCTGCGAAATGAGAAGGGTGTAGTCGGCCCTGGGCGTCCCTAAGTGTCGGCTCTGGTGTGCTTGGCTGCGCGGAGCCCCGCGCTTCCCCAGGGATGGGCGTGCGGATGCTGGCGGAGGGAGGTGGGGCCGGCGCCCCGGCTGTAGGAGCATCTCTTTGTTACGCGGGCGCTGAGACTCTCCAACACCGAGTCTGTGCTCGCTCCTCCCTACTGGTGCTGATCTGGACGGTGTTTGCCCATCTGCACCTGCCACTCGGCCGGCTCCTCCCGAATTAACTGCTTTCCAGACCCTCTTAAGTTGCCAAATCCTTTGTGAACCAGTGGTCCTTCCCAAAGCTGGTTTTTGAACTCTCCTTTCCTGCAAGCGGCTCACGGTGACATCTTTAAGTCTTCCTTGTTTTATTGTTCTGCAAACTGGAACTTTACCAACCAGCAGACAGTGGGTCCCAAATACCAGTACATGGACGTCAAAGTCATCTGAGGAGGCCGGCCCCACCACATACTGTAAGTCTGGAGTAGGGCCAAGGAGTCTGCATTTTAGCACAGCCTCCAGTCTGGGCAGTACTCCTAATTCCTTGATCCTGAGCCAGCCCTGGATTTTTGGCCATTGTCTCTTAATATTTCCTTCTATTAAATCCTGGATGGATTCCAAGCTTCCCTAGACGCCCCTCCCCAAATTCTTAGGGCCTCTTCTTAAAGGGCTGTAGTTTGTCTAAGCACCTCCAATTTTAACTGCCTGCTAGCCTAACCTTGGCGATTTCAATCTGAAATGGGACTCTTGCTAAGCACCAAAGACCTCACGTTCAGAGTCACAAGCATGAAAAACAGGATACCTATGGAGGGGCATGTAGACCTGAATTTAGGAATCTGAGTGCATTTGGCTATAACCGACACCTCTCGTCTGCCAAGATATGGGCCTCCCTGTGCCCTCTGACAGGAAACCTGTCTCCTGGAGTTAGGCTCTCACAAAGCTTCTCATCTCGGAGCTGCCCCATTCCCTTCAGAACAGCCTGTTAATTTGCCCTCCAGCCCTGTTCTGCCCTCCTAGCTATAAATATAAATTAGAAAAAAGAAGCCACTGTTTTCTGGATGTAAGTTGACTTTCCAGTTGATAAGCCACGATGTAGCTTTGTCTGGGCTACTGTTCACCAGTTACCCTTTCTAGGGATACCGTCAAACCACTAAGAGTGGTTTCTGAAATGGGAGGACGAGGCTTGGGATCTTCCTAGGGAACTGGCCGCCCAAGCTATATCTACCTGCCTTGTTCCCAGCAAAGAACGATGCTGTGATTCCAAAGCCACAAAAACAGCACAGCTCAAACAAAAGAGCATAGAACTAGGAGCGGAGATCTGAAGTTCAGACCTCAGCTCTGCCAATTATTAGCTCTATGAGTATGAGTAAATCACTTTATTTCTCTGAGCGTCAGTGCCCTTATCTCAGTTTGAGCCATTTAAGACAGTACCTGGCCCACAGCATGCACACAGGGAATTTTTATTCCTTTATTTTACCTTCCTTTCCTAGCAGCAAAAGCTACTAAGATGAATGAAGATTCATTCACCCTCCCCATCTTTTCTTGCTGAATTACAAAACAAAAAGGTTTAACTTCAAATGCTTGCTTGTATTTAAAGCAATATTGATCTGTAGACCGTTTGAGGGGTCCTTAGCTTTAATGCTTTACATCACAAATTCTGATGTTTTACTATAAAAAAAATGATGGTCCCAATGAATAGACTGTTTGACTGTGACACATTGTGTACACTGTACACAAATGTGTAGCAGTGACACATTTGTCTTGTAGACATGCAAGACAAATACCCCTTACTGCCTTCTGCAGTTTGCACGAAAACCGTCTTTTGCATTCTAAGATAACAGCCCCATTTGACTGGATGCATTTTTTTTTAAAGATTTTCACTTTCAGAGAGAGGGGAAGGGAGGGAGAAAGAGAGGGATGGAAACATTCATCGGTTACCTCTCCTACGTGCCCTGCCAAGGGACCAGACCCACAACCTAGGCATGTGCTCTGACCAGGAATCGAACTGGCAACTCTGCTTTTGCAGGATGACTCCCAACCAACTGAGCCACACCAATCAGGACAAGTGGATGCATTTTAGGTGAGGGAAAGGATGCCAAGCCGTGAGCTCTCAGCTTCTAAATGCAGATCTAATTCCCAAATTCTGACAAACTGCGGACAGACTCCAAATGACCTCACAGAGCATCTGACCCCAAACAAGAACTTACTCCATACCTGCAAATAGAAAACAAAGCAAGATGAGAAAAATTAATTGTTCACAAAAGTTTGTTTATTTAATTTCCTACTCTTCCCTGCTGAGCCTCGGAAAGAAGAAAGGAACTCATCTTCCCAGCAGTTTCAGCAGTGCCGAAATGCACCTGCTTTACAGGAGGTGGAGCTGTGACCTCTGCCGGGAAGCAGCACACGGCCACTTCACCCACTTACACCCCAGAGAGGAGCCTTTTCTCCCTAAGTGGACGGCTATATAAATCAAATTTAGCATTTTAAAGATTCTTATTTTTTCATCTTTATTGATTTCAGAGCAACAGAGAAAAACATCGATTTGTTGTTCTGCTTGCTTATGCATCCATTGGTTGACTCTTGGACGTGCCCTGACCAGGGATCCCACAACCTTGTTGTATGGGGATGGCGCTCCAACCAACTGCGCTACCCAGCCAGGGCAGATTCTTATTTTAAAAATCAGTGAATTACATACGTTAAAGCACATCCATTCACCATTTTTCTCCTTTTCAATACAGCCTGTGTTCATTTCCTGTTGCTGCTGCAATAGCTCCTAAGAAACTGAGGCCGTTGGTCCAGCAGTCCACAAGGGAGTGAATCATGCCAACAGTCACACAAAACGTGAGCTTAGCATCAGACCCACCCTAGTGGAGCCTCCAGATGTCTGTGGCAAGACCCTGAGCAGAGGGCCCGGCTAAGCTGCACCCAGACTTCTGACCTGCAGACATGCGAGGTAATAAATGTGGTTCTAAGCCACTAAGTGTTGGGGTAGTTCATATGCAGATGGCTTGATGAAATCCATCAGCTATAAGGAAAGGCTTGGTAGTCTGGTGTAGGCTTAGGGAGGCACCTGCTCTGTGTATGTGCCCCCTGTCTTGCCCCACCTGGCAAGCCTTTGTGTACCGGGTGCAGGGGCTGTGTGTCTGGCTGGTGTGCCCATGGGGAGGGAGCCGAACAATGCCATTTCCTTCTCCCAGCTACCTCGAGCCACCCCATTACCTCCCTGCCTAATTAGAATGCCCTCCCCTCAAGACTTGGGAAGTAAAACATCTCCACTCCTCTGGAAAAAACTTCAGAGGAATCTCTGCCCAACTAAATGTGACTTGCTCCCTTGTTGGGAACCGTCCTGCCCGGTTTCAGAAGCTGTAACTCCCCCATGACTAAGGCTGGGTGGGTGACCTTGGGACCATAAGCCACTGAGGAGACAAAGCTTATCTCCCTGGCAGGAGCACCGCTTCTGCTCCTTTTACTTCATCCATAACTGGCCCCCAATGCTTGGTCCGTTAGCCAATGATGGGTAAGATTCCCCAAAGGGGGGACGACCTAAGCCAGGCATGATCACATGGGAGGCCCCCAAGGAAGGACTTGGGGAGCTATAGCAAAAGGGGGTGATGGACCCTCACCCCTCAGTTTTGACAAAGCCTGAGTCATCATTCTGTCTGCAAGAAGTCTCCTTATCTCTTGGCTGCCTTACTTCCCCTGCCTGTCTTAAGCCTAAAACAATGGCAGAGGGTGGTGCAGCCCTGTGCTGGAAAGGGCGGGTTCCCGGGGTGATCAGGCCTAATAAAGAATATGTAAAATCCTGTGAAACCTGCTTTGTTTAGAATGCTCTCAATGAAATGATAAGGGTCCAAGCAAGAAGTGAGTTTGTTCCTCAAAGTTTTATAGTGTTTTAGCTATCTGACCCTGACTCAAAATAGGCCCTCAGAGTTCTTTGTTATCTATTGTTTGATCCTTACTACCTGACAATGATTAAGGAGCTTTACCTGTATTCTTGTGCAAATGAACCCAATAAAAGCCCATTGAGGAAAAGGCTCTTGGCCCTTCTCCTTTGAGAGATCAGCCACCTTTCCTCCCCAAGCAGATCATGTCTTGGTAGACTTATTCTCATCCATGGTGACCAGGGGGGCCCTGCAGGCGGAGCCCCCCACACACACACCCCCTAAAGGACAGAAATGAGGAACTTGACCCTAGAGAAGGAAAGAATGGAAGAATCTAGTCCTGTGGCCAGAGCAGGACTTTCAGAGAACAGGAAGGCTTGACTTTCCACTCACTGTCTAAAGCAGTGGTCTACAAGATGAGCAAGAGAATCCACTGGGATGAGGGAGAAACTACTATTTTTGATTAGAAAAATAGGAAATTAAGCTTCACTAATGTCCACTCTACAAGCTGAACCAGGGATGCTCGTAGTCCATGAGGGCCAGCTACACGTCAGGTCAGCTTTGAGGGGACAGTCTGTGGGCGGGCCCAGCACAGAGTGGCAGGCAGTGGCCACCACCCCTTAATTCACTGCTAGGGTGTCACTGAGTGCTCCTGCAGATTTCAAGCCCTGATTAAGAGGCTGTACTGATTGATTATGTTATCTGTATATTACTACTAACCAACATTAACCCTGGACAAATGGACAGGGCCTGGACAGTGCTCAGAGAAACCACAGCCTGAGCACTACCATGAGAGCCCAGGAGAACTTTAAGAAGGCAGAGCTGCCCTGGTTGGGTAGGTCAGTTGGTTAGAGCATTGTCCAGATCCACCTAGGTTATGGGTTTGATCCCTGGTTAGAGCACTT